ATTCTCCTATAGTCTATTTTAGACTATTTAATTATAGTCTATATTAGACTATTCTAATCTTAGTATTTTAAACTATTCTAATATCACGTGATCTATAGGGTTCTTCTATACCGGAATCTTATTATCTAATAAATATATTTATCTAAGCTACGCCGCAGATAGTCTATAATACTACGTGAATTTAAAAGCTTTAAAATACTACTAAAATATAGTATATAAGATATATTACTAATATATAATATTATATTAGTATTAAATATATTCTTTTATTTTTTATAAGTTAGTTTAGTAATAGTATATATAGCTAAATAATAAATCTTATCACGTAATAAAAATAGAGAATATATACTATACTATTTTTAAAAATATAGAGTAAGAAATTATTATAAAGATATATTATAAAAATAGTAACTAGAGATAATATTATAGTATAACTATAATACTTATAATATTATATAATAAAGTACTAAACTTAATACTATAGTATAATTATAGTACTTATATACTATATAATCTAGCCTAAATAGAAATTAGATAGAAACTCTAAGCTTAAATAATTAATCTATTATTACTCTAAATTTAACCTTATAGTATATATATCCGTCGAAGGCCTTATAAAATAATACTTAACTCTATTTTTAAAATCTCTCTAATAAATTGAATAAATTAGCTAAAAATATAAAAAAAAATATTAGTAGACCTTAATTTACTAGTAGATTATATAATCGCTAAGAAATACTAAAAAACCTAATAGTTACCCATTAGGTACTTGGGTGGGTAAAAGGGTATCTCTAAACCTATCTAGGGACTAAGATAGGCTCTTAAAAACCGCCCAAATTGACCCATTCAACCACCCAAACCTATTGACCCAAGGTTTTGACCCACCTATAAGGAAGTCTAGGCGGGGCAACGGCGGGGCAACGGCTAAACTAACTACCTAGGTAGTTTTTTATCCTAATTGAAAAGGCCGTTTAATATTAAAGACAGAGAAGTGAATCAGCTCTCTCTTCCTCTCTAGAACTAGAAAATTAACAAAGATATATAGCGGGCAGACTATATATACTAAGATGGCTTCTAATCCCACTCGCCTACAACGGTCTATCGGTGGGCTTCTCGGCGCCCACGCGGGCGACTCCCTAGGCGCTACCTTTGAGTTCCAGAGCTATGCCGAAATCAAAAAGTCATATCCTACCGGCCTGCGTGAAATAGTCGGTGGTGGTATTTTCCAGTTTCCGGTCGGAGCTGCAACCGACGACACCGATATGACGCGCGGTGTCCTCCTTGCTTATTACCACCACCTTATACCTAAGGAGTCTAGGCAGCAGCAACTACTAGACGACGACTCTCAGTCAGGTAGCGCCGTTATAGACAGCCATGATGTGGTTAAGCTGGCTGCGCAGTATTTCTTGAACTGGCTGAACGGCGACTGGCCAGGTCGGCAGAAGGGCGGGCGACCAGTCGATATTGGCGGCGCGACACTGGCGGGCCTGCTAAAACTCAACGGAATAGAAAATCTGGATCAGGCCGGGGCCGGGATCGGGCAAGCGGGCAATGGGAGCCTCATGAGATGTATCCCTACAGGGATTTTCCAGGCATGCCGAGCAGAAATGATGGAGCAGTCGATGAGGATATCAGCAATCACACATAATGATGCAAGGTGTACAATCTCATGTGCGGCATATAACACGATAGTGTATGCCTTGCTACGGGAGAAGTCACCAAGAGAGGCTATAGATGAAGCTCTCCAGGCTGCGAAAAGTCTAGAGGAGAGCTGTGATCAAGATACTGGCCGTGCGGTAGAGAAGGCGATCCGTCTAGGTCTAACGTTAAGCACGGCGGATATGGCTACGAATGGGCCCAAGGAGTTGCAAGGCAAAGCAAAAGGTTATGTGCTTGAGTCTCTCTCAATTGCAGTGGCTGCCTTAATAGATACACGTCCACTAGAGGATATTTTAGTGGATGTTGTTCGGATTGGAGGTGACACGGACACAAATGCTGCTATTGCCGGAGGCCTTCTCGGAGTCCGTGATGGTGTTGATGCTATCCCCTTAAGATGGCGCGAGACGCTTCAGTTTCACCAAGAGTTTGAAAGGATTGGAAGTCTCTTAGTAGAGGCTACTAAAAATAGTTACTGTGAATAAAATAGTGTTAAATATCCACAGAGGCTAAATATTAAGATATAGAGATAAATAGTAAATAACTTTACTCCAATTTCTATATATTTTACCAAGGCTCCCCTTCCATATTCCCCAGAAGCCGGTCTCGACCAACTTCTTCTTATAGTTATTCTTGTTGTAGATATTGGGGTGGTCAGTCAGCTAATAATCAATAACGGCGCGCAATCAACACTAAGTCGGAATGTATTCTTGCATAGTATTGTAGGTTGGGAGCGCAGTAAGTGGTAGAGTTCCATAGTAAGGTCGATAATTCTCAGTTCATTCCACCAAAAACATACTTTCGAACAGCCTACAATTATATTAGCGGAGTAATAGGTATACCAAGGCTCAGTCCTCACCATACGAAGTACGTCCGGATGTTGCAGCATGCGAGCATAGACCCCTTGATACTGCTCGATAGTTTCACTAACGACTCGACTTTTAGTTGTTTGCCCATTGCATATCGCGCTCATCCTTAGCTCCATCTACGCCTGTTATCAGCAGCCCGAGACGAGGATTGATCAAGAGTGTTATCTTACCTCCTTGCGTAAAAATGGCTTCATCAAATCAGTCTCAAACCCCATATTCTCGTGACCCTCAACCAGAGCGACTCCCAGCGTCGTGGGTATGAACTCTCGAACGCCTGTGATAGCACCACCGCGGCCAGCACCGCTATTCCAACCGCCGCGACGAGAGGCTACTGCCCCTCTATCTCTACGATCATTTCCGCCTCTCGTTTGGGCTGGCAACTCCTCGGAGTCTTCTTCGTCATTTCCATGCCGCGCCTGCCTTGGCTGAGCCCTTGCTTCGACGTATTGTCGGTCTATAATTGTGACAATATGGTCGGCCATGGTGGCATCAGTGCCGATACCATTCGCGTTCATTAGTGCAAGCAGGTCTGGTTCAGTTAGATATCCAGGTGGTGACGTCTTACCTTCACCGAGAATGGCTTCAGTCGGCTCGAAGACCTCGCCTTCGATGAACGGGGGAAGTTCTTGGTTGCTCCACCGATCGTGAATGTAGACATCGAGATAGTTGCGCTCTAATATTACAAGGCCCGATGTATGGAATGTCTCCGGTCCATAGAGAATACTAATTTCGGTCTTTAACCCCTGGGCGTCTTTGCTGCAGCATGCCAGAAAGAGCCGGACGACAAACTCATGAACACGCTGCTCTTCATGTGAGAGCGTAGTTGGATTGACGAAATTGACCGGGTGGATAGGCGGGTGGGCCTTATCATTATTATGTCCGTTACGGGGCCACGAAAAGCCTCCTTGAACCAGCGCCGTTGCATAATCAGCCCAGCGCCGCCTTGCGCCCTGCTTCTGGTCGAGGCCGCGAAGGTCCATACCCCGGTCGAACCGGTCTGTCTCGGTTCTAGGATAGCTAATCCAACCTTTTTGATATAGCTTTTCTGCAAGCTGCAGAACCCTTTGACTGTCCATTCCGAAGAATCTGCTACCGCACTTCTGAAGCTCTAGGGTAGTCAACGGTAAGGGTTTCCACTTGCTCGTCGGTATGGTTTTGACCTTTTGGACCTGAGCATTCTGCGAAGTGAGACACCGCTCATAGAGAATAACAGCTGTCCTTCTGTCGAATAGATGTTTACGAGCCCAACTAAACTTCACCTTTGTCCCAGCTTTTTGATGCATCAGTTTGATGCTCCAGAATGGTTCCGGAATAAAATTCCGAACGCGCAAGTAGCGCTCGACGACGAATCCAAGCGTAGGAAACTGACAGCTCCCGTAGCTGATCAATTGAGAGGTTTCTGACAGATTGCCTCGCTGGAGTACAGGACAAAGGCTCAAAGTGAGGTGCCGGGTGAAGCTTGCGCCCACACGAAGATCGAGCTCGATACGTGCAGCTACTGCGTTGGCTTGCGCTTCGTTGAGATCGGCGGGACGATGAGCGGCGTGGATGATATGCGTTCTTTCGATATTGGAGAAATGTGCTCTTACTGTGCCGCCAGCGCGACCCAGAGCCTGGTTGCTTTGTGCTGCCACCAACCGAATCTTGGTGCCTATATGCTCACCTTCACGGTCGCAGTCGGTCCAGATAAAGAGCACGTCGGCCCGGCGAGCGTGTCGCTTGATGTTATCCGCGACAGGCTTGCTCTTGCTACCAATGAAAACCTCGATGCCAGCGTCAAAAAGCGCAGATGGGTCGCATGAAGTCCAGCTCTTGAATCGCGGCTCAAACTCGTGGCTAAGGAGGTGGCCGAGCACAGAGGTCATTATAACACTGCAGTGACCCCATTGCGGAAAGGTGTAGTCGAATTCGTAGTTCTTCACATACGGATTGCCTTGGATATTATGCTGTACGTTCATTAGCTCGACTACCTAACTTGCGGATGGCGCAGGTCTGTACTCACGGACGGTAATTACTCGATCTCCCAAGTGGTTTGCAATTGCTTTCGCAATCGATGGCTTTTCCGCAACGCATAACACCGTCCTTACCGCCATATATACTTTCCCCGAGCGACGCGTCTCCGGACGTGCGCAGGCCTAAAATGAGTAGCTATATGCGAAAATCCTAATAGCCTATCTGGTAAAAGACCAGTCGACAATGCCATAGGCACTGTCTGTAAACAGCTTTTGTATGAAGAATAATATGATTGTTAATTGTCTAAGCTAAAAATCTTCCGAGTTAAGGAGATAAAAAGATACAGTTAAGGCGTAAATAAAGTTAGTTACATAACTAGTTAATCATGGTTACATAACTGCTTAATGCTATCAGCCCGCTAGTTAACTATCTTGACGACGCTTTCATTGTTTGGAGAAACTTGATGCGGCTAACTAATAACGACGCTGCTTGATAGATAACTGGACTAGATAGAGAAATTGTGTTAAAGACGGAACGAAAGAGCTATACTTCTACCCCCCTCATATATATACTCTGTGCGCTGGATTGTGAAAGTGATAGATATTACAGGCGTTAGTCTGCCTCTAGTGCAGCTTAGCTACGCTACGGATGTGAGACTGTTGGGTGGCGTGGGAGGCATAGCCTTGAGGCCCTCCCGCTGCGCCTCGATAATCTAGTTTCTTCGAGCTTACTAACAGCCGTCGGGAGCGCGTGTTAGCACTCCTTGGATAGTTAACTACTACAGTTAACGCATAAATTACGTTCAAAAGCTGTTTATACACTTCTGAATAGCGCCGCTACCTGCTGAGACATTTGATTGAATATATATAAGTAATATGTATCGTATAAACATTAATTAGTTAATCAGCCCGATCTAGGTAGATCCCTCGATACATCGGCCTTTGTCGCCCCACCAAGAGTTTGCAACACCTCCCCACCAGCGCTTGACGTCAAGAAGGGCGTCCTTGGTCAGGAACATCCTGCAGTGGGCAGGCTCGTAGACAAACTGGCGAGGCACTCGCTTCCTATCACTGGTGAAGACGGCGTTGCGGTAATTAACACGGCCACCAGCTCCGCTATTAAGCAGGCGGGACAGCACATACTTGCCCTTATTGTACATCTCGCCGAGCTGGGTCTTCTCCAACTCATGCTGCTCGCGGGGGGTAGAATACTTCTTAATAACCAGCTCAGCAATACTCCAGAGCTCACGGAAAGTAAGGACCTGGGTGCCTTTGACACCACCAACAGCCTGCATGCGGCCCGTTCGAGGCTGTCCACCTACGGCAATAGACTTGATACCGTTACGGTTCATCAGATCGGAGAATATAGCACAAGTAGACGCACAGATACCATCAGTGACAAGGACAATATTCTCCTTCTTAAATGCCTGGGGGGCAATATGGCTGCGGTTGCCATAACCAGAGACAACAAGACCGCCGGCCTTGAGTGACATAGGGATATTGTGGAAGTCCCAGATAGCAAGGCGGCTAAAGTTGCCAGCCTCAACGGTCTCTGGGCCAAAGTAGGAGTCCCAAGATCGGTACTTCCTGCCATTAGGGTCAACGTAGGAGTTGGTATCAAAGATATCGTCTCGCATCTCCTCGGCGGCTGGGGCCTTGGGGTCGCGGGGATGCTTGAGGAGGTAGTTGACCTTAGTCCCAATGATGTCGAACTGCTCAATAGCACGGAGGTTGAAGGGGGTTTCAATCTTGCCTCTTGGGAGGAGCTGTACTTTCTGTTAGCTTTTGGATTGGTGACCTGTTCTGTTTGCCGAGTAACTTACCTGCTTGAAAGTATCGTAGCCTAGGAAGATGGTACCACCCCTATTACCGCTAACATCAACAATCAGCTTCTCCTTACCCGCCTTCCTACAGTCTTCCAAGAACTTAGTGACGGTGTAGCTGAAGTCCCACAAGGGATCGTTGTTATCAGCAGCGCCAACAAAGGATCGAAGGTTAAGCACGGCCACCTTGGAGTCCTTGCCTTCTAGGAAGTAACCAGCAGCGGCACCATCCTTGGATTCTCGCAGGGGAGTTACTGGAGGAACGGTACGCTGAGCCAAGGGGAATGGTGGCGAAGAGATTGGGCTGGCAGTGAGGAAGCGGTGATCTCGGAGCGCAGTGTACTCGTAATCCCTTAGAGCGGCAACAGTAGCTGATTGCTTGCCGGTGCAGAATTTCTCGTAGAAACCACGGCCATCCTTGACTCCGGAGAAGTCAGCAGTGGAAGTAGCGGTATGACCAAACTGTTTGGTGGTTCCGTTCTCAAAGGTAACGCTCATCCCGGTGCCTGTGTAGAGACCGCGGCTTGTGAAGAATCCACCGGTACCGCTGACCCTGGTGAGTGGAAGGTTGAAGAGCATGCCGTTGTAAAGGGCATCAGGATCCTGGAAGAATCCGCTGAAGGAGAACTTTTTCATCCACTCAGTGGCATCCTGGCCGTCAATGGTTTTGAGAGCTGATGCGTTCATCGATCGACCTTGGAGGTCATCTTAATGGACATGTTAGCTTCCATAAAGTAGCACTGAACGAAAGGAAAAAAAAAAAAAAAATAGAATTAAACATACTCAGAGAGTAGATCTTAGGCAAGTCCTTTCCGTCATTAGAAAGAGACACCAGCGAACCAATGTCAGAGCGAGTGAAGGCAAATGTGGTGATAAGATCCATTGCCAAATTAAAGTGGCCATCATGCACAGTTCTCACAAGTGCATCTAGCTCGAACTGGAATTCGAACTCATTCTTGTAGCCATTGTTAGCTGCCTTTTGGCGGATCTTTGCAAGTCCTCCCTCAAGATCAGTGCCGGGAACGGCGTAGCCTTGTGGTGGATTCTTCAGGAAATCCTTGGTTGTCTGCCAGTCCCAGAAATACTTCAAACCGTCAATTAACTGCAGGGAGTCGTTTGACTTGAATGGAACCGATGTCAGACAGGCGTACGCGAGCTCTGCAGAGACGGTAAAGTTGGGAGCTGTGGAAATGGATTAGCATGGGCTTTTTCTTAGTATCTGGTAATCTCCGAGTATATTGTTTTTTTATGTATACCGTTTGGGTTCCCCGCCTTCTGCTTCTGCTGCTCCTCCGCGACCTGGGCGCATGGCTCCGTGGCAGCAGACGCAAGACCGCTGGAAGAAAGCAAAAGGCCAATGACGGCCTTGTCGACTCGGACCATGATTCCCCGTTAAATCTTTAGCGAGGGGTTGGTTAAAAAGCGAATGTGATTTAAAGAGTGGACGATCTACACCAGGAATAAGTGTAGATTGAGATGAGCTGTCAGAAGACAATCACCGTGCGAAACCCTGCGGAACCTGGGGAATCTGGAGAATCTGGAGATCTTGGAGAAAATGGGGACCCAACTGCTTCTTAAATACCCAGGTTGCCGGTCTAGCCAGCTCCTCAATCCCTTAGCACGAGCAAGGCGTCGGGGACTATAGAAAGGGAGTCTCCCGGAAGAATAGAGGAGTACTCCGCATGCTAAAACCTAGCTTTGGAGGAGGATCCCAAGGTCGTGGAGGATAGCGCAAGGGTAGGCGAGGATTCTTCAATCACGAATATCCCGCAGATGATGAATAAACATTTTCAGCGGGATTGGAGATAAAAGGTCAGGGGTGAGGCCTGGTTATCTTCCACAAGGGGGTATCTCCTCCGGACAGCCCACCCCCAGGGCCGAAGCGAGCTCACAACCCCATATTATTCCGTGATATTGGATCAAGATCACCAGGTACCTGTGGGGACCACTGACGGATATCAACCTCCAACCTAGCAGATATCAAATATGATTATATTTCCGCTGTGGTGAGCGAACCGTGGAAATAGCCTGCGAAGATCTCAATTTCCGCCCAGGGAAAGGCGTTTCCTCAGAATGCCCGAACTGCAGGCAGGAAAGAAAGTTACCATCCACCACGGACACGACGAACACGGGCAGCTGTATTGGCCAGGGACTGTTCCTGCGAGGGGACCCCTGGACGGCCAGGTTCTCGAGATGAATCCGTTTCTGCACAATCGATAAAAAAAAGAGGTGACCGGCGACCTTTCTGTCCAGCGGGGAGTGGGGAGATAAGGACGGGTTGTTAGTAATATAAAGGCCTGTCACATCGTATTGATGGTGTGGAATTAGTTAACTAGCCGGGGTTCGATGGTGCTAGAACAGAGTCGAAAGATGCCGACTCCAGGTACAAGGACAATTCTGGAAAGCTTCTTCACCTCGAGAGAAACCTTGAATGGCATCGTCCTCGTGTTCTGAATGGTTTAAATCGGCCTTGAGGTTGATTGTTCCCTGCATCCTTTTATGCGATAATCAGGGCAAATCTAATATTGGCCTTTGGCTCCGGCGGAATGTTCGTCGTAACCCACTGATACGGCGACGCCGCGGAAAACTCCTTGAAGTGGCCTAGTTAACTAGCTACGGAGCCTAATATCTTAGCCGATCCAAGAAAAATCTCTCTTCATAAGGGTCCGCTTTATTCCAAAATACAAGAGAGTAGGCGTTGATACTATTTGTTTATAACACTACCAAGGTCGCAGCGAGAGCGGTAGCGACAGCAACCATGTAGAGTGACGGCTAAATCCTCCTCATCATAATAATATATTAATCCTTTGGAGATGGATGGTCTGACCGGAAGCAAGACAGTTGCGTAGAGGATAACTCTGCAAAGCAAGGTAACGCAGACTTGTAGATAGATTCATAGTACGTATTTGAGTGTAAAGGTTTTTATGTTCGAGAGTGCGAGCCGGGCCTTCGATATTATCGCTTGGTGAATAGTTAACTACCTAGTTATAAAAGCAAAGAGGCGCTGCTATAACTATGGAGTGCTCCGTACTCCTGTTAATAACAATCATTTTCCATACTCATATATGTCTCGATATGTCTCGAACACTTGCAAGTAAATAGCCGACATCCTTGTAAATAGGGCGCAGCGGAGCTTTTTTTTACCTCCAAGCTCACGTCAACTTGTAGCCATGGCCTAATCGTGGCCTAAGGGAGACGTTTTAGTTATCAAGACCACGATAAGGGTATCTCGACGGGGTATCTCGGAGGACTCGGGATGAACCTGTTCGTTTGGATTCGTCTGGAGGTTTAAATCTACATCGTTGATGGCAACCATATTCCTGCAAGGAGTCATCGACAGACCTTCCCACAGCTTACGGCGTATGCTCTCTCTTTCCGCCCTCGGTTTGCCTAAGTGTGAACTTTTCAAGACCTTCGACCGCCAAAAATAATGTTTCTCTATAGCATGGCTTAGTCACCCAGACGTGACGTTCCCATTGGCTCTTTTCCCATTGAGTTTAGCTCAAGATATGCTGAGTCAGCTGTCGATCCCCTGTTTTCGCAGCGCTCTAGTACGCCAGGTGTTATCATAGAATATACAGAGTATGTACCCATCCATATACCAGAGATGTCAGTGAGATATATATATCCATGAGCAAAGAGGATTCCGCAGGCTTGGCCCGCGATGGCGATGCTCTAAAATAGAGATACCTATGTTCTGTTCTGCACACACTAACCACAGCTTACACACAGCACACAGTTCCCGTTCTCTTCGTTCATATCTAATGTGAGGGCTACGATTCTCCTCCTCACAGCACTTCAACATGCCGAAACCGACCGGAAGCCGCCCGACTCGTCTCTTTGGTGGTAGCCTCTGCACTGCCGTCCCAACGACCTTCAGCCCCGACTACTCCTACTACACCAGCTCGGCCGCATAGTGGTAGTTGGAACATGCCAATGCCGCTAAGCTCTGCGGGAGCGGCTGGTATAACGGGTTACTTTCGCTGCCTACCCTTAACGTAACCCTATATCTATAGCGGGTGCCATTCCGAAGCACAATAACATATAGCCGGCACTCCCACAATGGCGGCCCCAAACGTTGGCGCGGAACTGGCGGCTGCCTTGACGAACACATTGTTACAAATGGTCAGGATTTCTATAGTTGCATTAACTACCTACCTAGGTACTTAGTAGTTAATAACTCGCTAGTTATCTGAATAGTGTCATTAACCTTGGAAGTCGCTGATAATATTAAAGTTCAGTGCACCTTCTTGCATTTCTTTTTTCTGTTTAAATATTCGAGAAGTCGCAGCATTGCACGCGAAGACTTCCAATGAAAAGATACGAAGGCGTCACACAGCAACGCTATTTCCGTACCTGGAGTCAACCCCGATGGCCACCTCTCTTCAGCCTCTGTTTCAAACACCATTAACCGTACCCAGAGCGGGGTCACGACAACTGCCAGAACCGGAGTTGCAGACAGAACCGGAACAGGTTCAGAGTTAGGGTCAGAATCTAAGGCTTCTGTAGCTTCTGAGCCGCCTTATACCTGACGAACTTGCCGCGATATTCCTCGATTGCTATACTCTCTCTTACAACTTACAACGTTACACTACGATATTGCAGACTTGAAGATGCCCCGTCCTGGAGGATGGCCGAAGATTACACCTGAGGTCATTGGTAATGTCAAGCCCTACTATGCCATTGAGCTCCTTCGCCGTCTTCCCTATTTAGCAGCGAGGCGCATGTCCCCCCTCGAAGCTCATAGACTATGATCTATCTCACATCCTCGCTATAAAATTCCTAGTTAAGCTCAAGTCAGACTTCGACGTCTCATTCCAGGGAGTTATAAACAGAGTGTCGCTATCATCCGCCATATCAGCACCCGTTGAAATCCTTAATATCGTGGCTGACCGGGCGGCAACCTATCCGCGGCCCTTATTTCACGGCTGTAGTTAAACTTACGAGATACTAGGGGTAAAGGAGCAGGCAAGGCAGGTGAAAGACGTGTTCTATACTACGCCGCCGCATATGGGAAATATCGGCATTTACACAGAACCAATCAGCTAAATACTTAACTTAAGACGAAAAACTAGATACTAAATCTTTACTATAAAGTGAAATAGCAATCATTTCGTGTGTTTGCAACTGGATGGTTAAGGTTAAATATAAACTGATCCCATGATAGTCTATCGGCGACTCGCTATCACATCAAGAATAAGCTTAAACTGGGAAGAGTGATGGTTTTGGACGACCCCGAAGAATTTTTAGTGCATCTCCAATGGGCCCAGTCGATGGTATATCATTTCGACAGAGTGGGAATGCCATAAGTTGGTCCAAGTTTTCTGACTCAGGAGGCGGAGCGCGAATTGGATGACCCTCTGCCCACATTAGGATTCTATTCCGAGCGAAATAAATTGCGAGTTCGATGTTAAAGGTATGAATATTTCGCATAGTGAAGGCGTCTCGCTTCTTAATTGCCTGCAGATACATATCTGCTTCTGTAAGATTATGATCTCGGGTAAAGAAGCCGTGGCCGTCGGAGATCAAGCGACTATTGGCATCCGTGTACGAGAATGCGATAGCCGTCGAGCTTTTACTTTAAGAGCGCGGATATACACTGGGGCATCTGCTCGTCGGGCTAGATTGTTTTGGCTCCCTTTCTTGTCGGCTTTGCTAATCTTATATTGGGTTTGGTTTTTTCGGGCTGCTTTGTTGGCCTCACTTGAAGGTAAGTCGCAGGTAAGTGTACCCATACGAACGACAGTATCGTGGATATTTGCCTTCGCCCCTTTTTATCAGGCTTCGAATGTAGTTTATCATCGCTTGTCCAGTCACCGAAGACTTTTTCCAAAAACGTATTGATTTCTGTGGGTATCACAGGTTCATCTGGTAATGGGTATCCTTGATCGCATATACGTAAGACTCCAGGATATGTTGGACCACGAGGGACAAAAAGGCCTAATGCCCCAAGGATACCTTGGGTAATGAGGGTGAGTTGTAGCTAAAGTGGACTATTCCAACAGGATATGCACTTCCTCACTTGAGAGTGAAGCAGGGGTCTTGTACTTCTTTGGTGCCATTAGAGCGATAAACGGTTCGTTTTCTACCATTAGGCAGGGTAGCAGGTATTCTTTACTATAATATATAACTCCTTGTTATTTTCTTGTAGAGTTTAAAACTGCGGATAGAAAAAAGCTTACCTGTCTGGAAGTGTACTGGAGAGCAATGTAGATGGTATAAGGAGGTTCTGGAAGCTGTGGTTTTTTCAGCCCTAGCTTGAGGTTAACCGAGTTGAAGTTGCTGGTGAAATTATAACGTTAGGTAACTCTTTAAATAATGCTGACATATGTACGGAGTATTCACCCAACATCCGTATTCACCCACAGTGGCTAACTAGTTAAGCAACCGTAGGTAGCTATCTTTAAGACTCGACGGTATGTACCCCCACGAAGAACCGAGTTATATACCTTATTCACTGTATCAGTGTACTCTACATTGCTGAATATGTCATTCGGCGGTGTGATTCTTCCTTGCAGCCACATACAGGTTACCGGGTTTTCTGCACTACAAACAACCCAAAGTAGTTAAACAAGAAAGCGGCTAGTTAACTAATTAACTAGTTACCTATTAACTAACTACCCAGGTAACTAGCTAGTTATCAAGGACGGCAACATGCCACCCCTAGTCAACCGGTTAATAGATACTCTCTTTCGTTGATGGAGGCGTAATAATGTAGAAAACGATACCCTTATGCCTGATGGTCAGTAGCCGTCTCTCTTGGCAGGCAACCATCTCTTGTGGCACTGCGCTTGGAGAATGAATCATGCGCCTGTGCAACCAACATCTTGGCCATGCAGATTTGCAGCCTAATTGGCTGGTTGTCCGCAGATTCCGCGGCATTTTGTTGGATAAAGGATGTCAGTGCGACACGTACCAGGAGCAGGCAGGCTGGTCGCAATCCAGGGTACCAAGTACACCATCCAAGGCTGCCATTCCCTCGCTAATCGGCCGAAAATGGGGAAGCTGGCATGTTGAAGCCATCGATCGGATGTCAGTGACTTGGAAACAGTTGGGTGACTCCTAGGTAGTTAGTTATTTTAACTAATAACTAGCTGCCTGTTTGCGTTTTAGTTACGGAGTATACTAACTAACTAACTAGCGCCATTTCCCACGGCCGAAACGAAGCTGGCAATGTAACTCTCTATGGGCTCTCAAGCCGGCAGAGACACTTGCACATATGCATGTTATACCAGGATGCGCCTCATACTCGGACAAAATAGGGCAGTCGATAAGCCGGAAATACCTGCTGTCATAAGTGGCGTACTCAAGTGTGTTCGGTCAAGCCAGGGGGACGCAGTTGAGAGCTAGAAGACTGAGGCGATGCGGCTACCAATTGGTCCCGTTGGCGATCCCAACCAGGGCTCAATCGATCGATGGCCAGAGATAATGCAGCTAGCCATGCAGTGAGACTCCGTGGCCATCATGCACGATTCCCTTTACTCCGGAATGAGGGGACGACTGCTCGCCTGTCACACGATGGGTGAGGATGGCTTTTCAGGAAGAGCCGTCTTATCGTTGGCTACGAAATATTTATATGAAAACTACCTCACCCTTTCTATAAAATAGTTATGCGACGGCCTATCTCCGTCAAAGAATGCTTGTGTTATGAGAGGGAGGACAGGCCTGTGTCAAAGTGAAAATCTGTCCGTCGAGATGCCGTCACTCAGGACGCCGTCCCCACTGCGCCTCGTCACTAAGCCCCAGAGCTCCGGCAGAGAAGTGCATCGGCTGGATCCGAATGGGGAGGTCACTCTTTTGATGACCCGGTTTGTGCAATATACTGACGATGGCTCAAACTGTCAAGACCCCGAGGACTCATGCGAGATGGAAGCTAATAGTCCACACGAAGAAGGTAGCTCTTCAATGTCGTCGTCTTTTCCTTGGTCTAGCTACATGAAGCTAACAAAGATAGAAATCTCCATATGCGTCTCTTCCAGACACCTGATTCTAGCTTCGCCTGTCTTTCGTGCAATGCTTGAGCATAGGTTTGGTGAAAGCCAGGCCCTGCGTGCGGTGGGCAGTGTTGAGATCCCTCTTCCCGACGATGACCCGGATGCCTTTCTGATCGTTTTGAACATTATCCACGGCCACCTACGTCAAGTCCCGCTGCAGGTCGACCTTCAGATGCTGACCCAGCTCGCTATCCTTGTGGACAAGTACGAGCTGCATGAGCGTACCGAAGTATTTGCAGGCTTTTGGTTCGGTAATCTGATACCTAATATCCCCAACTGCTATACGGACGATATTCCTTTTTGGACATGCGTCTGCTGGGTCTTTAACAAGCCAGAGGAGTTCAAAAGAGTTACTAGGCTGATTTTGAGGCATGGACGAGGTACCTTGACCTTCAAGGAGCTGCCCGTGCCGTCATTTGTTGCTGGTGAGCGGCTACTCCTGATATGTAACTAACTAACCTAGCTGTAACGAATGCCCTGGCTGACTGGTGGACTGTGATAGATGCAATCAATAGCCGGCGAGAGGAGGCTATAAGGCGAATAATGTCTTCTCTTATCGATCATCTTGATGATTACCTGGATAATGAACATTGTAGCTTCGAGTGTGACGCATTGATGGTTGGTGCTCTGACAAAACGTCTGCGCGCCTTTAATATCCTACCAAATCGCCCAAAGTCACCTTATACAGGCCTCAGCCTTCAGGACTTCAGTCATCGGTTTCGTCATGGCATGTATTTTCCAGCTGCCCAGAGGACGAGCACCTTTTTCTACAGTCACTCGAAGTGTGCAATCCCATCCATTGATCGTATGCTAGCAGAGTGCGAAAAACTATCAGATGGCCTAGATATGGCAGACTATAAGACTGCCTTGACGTTAGCGCTGTGATTTCTGCTGAAAGACACGCCCAAGCTTGAGGGCGAGGATTTTACGATAGACTGTATAGTAATGTACAGAAGCATGATACCTCAATATTATATGCCTTTTGGCCTTGGGGACGTTGTTCTACTCGACATGGGTAATTAAAGAGTATTATTACCGTCCGTATCAAGTGATGATCATGATTGATGAGCTGCAACCCGAATACCTACAATGTTGATGCAAGAAATTTCATCTAGAACAATTTAGAAGTTAGGAACATGGAATAATCATTCTATCTATCTCTCATGATGCTCTATGCCTCTGTAGTAGTTAGGTCGTCTTGTGCTTGATATAGTTTACGGCCACATACAGTGCCGGTCTATAATAACGCTCATCAGATACAAATCGTCAAGGGATAACAATCTAGTTGTTATCGCGCTTCTGTGCAGCGATTACACCATCCAGCGTCGTCTTTCCCTCAAGGAGCTCTTTAGTAGTGGATAAGATGGTAGACCAGTCCTCGAAAGTAGTGTACGGGATATCATCCCGTTTACATATAATTGTCAGGTCTGTAGTGTAACCAAGGCAATCAATATTCAATATCCGTTACCATCAACCCGTGAGAAGTGTAGATACGTACCGTGGCCTTTCTTAGCGAAGAGAAGATCCGTCTGACGAGCAGCAGAGATATCTGACACCCCGTCTCCGGCATAAAGGAGGATTGGGCGCTCTGACTTGGGTATTGCGGCGTATGGGCGAATTTCCAAAGACTTGTCGTGGCCAAAGTGGCTATTTACGCGTAAGTATCGAGCACCGGCCAAGAGAGTCATTGGAAGAAACAAGATAAACACACCTATCGTCATGGAAGTCAATCTGCCATCCGCCGTTGGAGTTGATATCTTTTCCGTCTCTGCTGGCAACCTGGTTGGCAACGATCTGGATGTTCTCAGGCTCGTGTCCGAGCAGCTTCACAAAGAGAGCATGGATAATCGGAACCATGCCGGATGAAAGTACAACAACGGGAACGTTGTTCTCCTTGGCCCACCTGTAAAATGCGGTGAAGTGCGGATCGAGGGTGACTCTCTGGCAGAGAAAGTCGACACATTCATTAAAGGGGGTATCAATGCTATCAAGCATCTCCCGGAAGCCATCCCTAATTTTTCAGAGACAAGGTAGTCAGCAAGCAGATCGAGGGGCTTCGTCTTTGGGCTGAAGGGAGGTGGCATTGAGAGAGTACCGGAAAGTCATCCTGCCCTCAAGGATAGCGGCATTTCTTGCACTTCGTTCGATGGCGCCAAACCCGAGGTGGTCGGTCTAGAAGGGTTCCGTCAGCCAATGTCCAGGAGAGTAGTCAAGTAGTAAAAAACAGCAAAACCAAGAATATATGTTATTACCAAGTGGTCATTGCCTGCAAGTGGAATTTCACAGTTAGACTCGCATCTCTCCTTCTCCCCTCAAACGATCACGCAAAGCATACTATCTTGCAGCGTGATGGTGCCGTCAAAATCGGTGAAGAAGATGACCTTTGGCTCGCTCTTCATAGCGGGCAGTGAGCCGAGAGAACCCATCGTGGCCGTAGCAGCGCAATCGACGCTATCGAAGTTATCGCAACCGCCGTGGTTGACGCCTTTAGCACAGTTGATTGTAGCGGTGGGCCTTGCAAGGGGGGTTTAGTGGGATGTCTGCCGGTCTTTATATATCCACCACGAGGATCGCCGGTCAGTGAGTTTAACAAACACCATCCTGCTCTGGTTTTCCACCAAGCGCCGCTACCTGTTACCTATACAGACATGAATATCGGCAGATACATGCCCTCACACGCAACATTTGCCCTCGACACTGCACAATCACCCGCGACTGGCTCGTCAGGTTGGGCAGCGTCTCCGAGGACGTCAGAAGGGCGACCGAAGTACCAGGTACTTGAATTTTGGTGGCGTCGTGCGGCAAAAGCAATGTTCCCGTGACCTGCGGCTCTTTTCGTTCGGCTGGGATGGCGCTTCTTGGCGCTTGTTCCGCTTCCCTTTTTGCCTTTTTTCAACGTCAAACGTCAAACTTCCGACCACCGTCGACTCCAGCTTCATCTTTCACCCACGTCAAAAACACGACTTTGCCTGCAAGCAGCAGAAGCCCGGAATCAGTGGTGAGCGAGTCTGGTTACTCGCCTGCAGCATTCTCGACATCGTTACTGCGATGTGCTGACCACGAGACAAGAGTCACATTACCAGCTAGCACTGCAAGCAACGTCGATAAGGACAGACATCAACGTCAACACCAACATCGACTCCTCCTTCTGCTCCTCCTCCCAGTCTCCCACAACTGCGGATGGCGGGTTGACGGGTGAGCTGTGTGTATGACTTACTTATGGCCAAGCGAAGTGCTCTCTCTTCTCTCGACCAGTCTGGACAGCCCGCTGAGAAGAAGGCTGCTACAGAGGCCTCGTCTTCAAGGTAAGTTCCGGAACATTTTCAGTCTCCATCTTCACTTTCCGTGCTCCTTTTATATTGCCATTCCTACTTCCCCTTCTTCCCTTTCTTCTCATTCTTCTCATCATCTTCGTCTCTTCCTTATACCCTTTATCTGACATATTATTTTTTACATTATCTTCTTTTCATCTTGGGTAGTCGTTTCCCTTTGATCTTTCCCCCTCTGCCCAGAACCCCTTCTCTTCTATGCATCAGTCCCTAGAAGTCACACTCACGCCATGGAACGCAGAGTTACTCGATCTGCCGCCAGAATTGCTGCCAGCAGTGCTACCAGCGTGCCGGAGTCCACCTTGCCGCCTAACCCCCCACAAACCCGGAAACGAAAGGCTCCTTCTCGTCGTGAGGTAGCTCGGGCTGATCCCGAGGTCCCTCCATCGCCGCAGCCCAGCTCGCGCTCGAAGCGCCAGAAGTTGACACCTGCTGGCCATCAGCCTGCCCCCCGGCAAGGTACTCGACAGTCTGCAGGCATGTCTCAGCCTATGTACGCGGATATACCTGTTCTTTACTCTACTTATTTATGAGTTAGGCAAGATTAGTTTTGGTATAATTTCTAACGTCATCGTGGCGCAGATCCCCTGGAGAGTCGGAGGAGAGATCGAAGTCTGTCACCGCTTCATCCTCATCCTCAAAAACCCGGACCAGTCGAAACAGAAAGTCTACAAGAGGTCTGCAAGCTATCCTACTTTCCCTTAAATCACATATTATTATTACGTCTTTCATGTTGACACTTTCGTCGCTTTAAGATGCCTCCCAACATGTTTCCCCGCCGCGTCGACAGAAAAAGAGAGGTAAACGAGATACCGATGTTGAAATGAAAGACGGAGATGAGGAACGCAAGGAGAAAGCACTTGACAAAGATGAAGAGGAAACCTCCCTAGCCAGCGATAGCCATGAGGAAACCAACCAGATGGATGCCGCTGAGGATGATGATCATGACCTGTTTCGTAGCGGTATCTTTGGGGCAGGGGGCCATTTTGGTCTTCAGAGTACTCTGCGTGCTCTCAGCGGGATGATGTCGGGCATGTCCTCTCGCCTCCGGGATATCCTATCGAATTTGAAGACAAAGGAAGATCCTTCCGTCCAGTTAATTGCATTGCAGGAACTATCAGACCTTCTCTTAGTTTCGAACGAGGACAACCTCGCTGGTCATTTCTCCCCAGACCCTTATGTGCACGAGCTCGTAAATCTGATGCAGCCTAATGACTTTGGAGAAGAAAACCCTGAAATAATGCTGTTAGCTTGCCGGTGTCTAGCTAACATGATGGAGGCTATTCGAGGCTCCGCCGGCAGTGTTGTTCAGGGGGGTGCTGTGCCAATTCTCTGCCAGAAGCTGCTGGATATACAATTCATTGACCTAGCTGAGCAAGCTTTAAGTGTACGTCCTATTCACAAAAAAAAGGGGGGGCTGGAAGAGGGGAGGGAAGAAAACCCCCCCTTTGCATGCATCATCAAGTACTGACTAACAAGCCTCAATACTAGACTCTAGCAAAGATATCCGTGGACTTCCCTGCTTCCATTGTCCGGGAAGGCGGACTAACGGCCTGTCTCACATATCTTGATTTTTTTCCTACAAGCACACAGCGTACGGCTGTTACAACAGCTGCAAATTGCTGCCGTAACGTACCGCAGGACTCCTTTCCCGTCGTGAAAGATGTCATGCCCATACTACTAAATGTCCTCTCGAGTAGCGACCAGAAGGTGGTTGAGCAGGGCTGTCTATGCGTTTGCCGTGTGGTAGAGAGCTTCCGATACAAACCAGAGCAGCTGGAGGAATTAATTGAGCCGGATCTGTTACGAGCTGTGCTTCGACTACTCCTCCCCGGCACGACAAACTTGATCGGGCCCCATATCCACACATACTTCCTCCGCATCCTGGGAATAATCTGCAAGTCAAGCCCTCGCCTGTCTGTTGAGCTTCTGAGAATGAATATAGTAGATACTTTGTATCAAATTCTCACGGGAGTTTCACCCCCTTCGGACGACGGTACTGGACCACTCAAGTCTGATACTGTGCATATTATGCAAGCCTTGATACACCGCCCGCGCGAACAAGTTTACGAAACACTCAACATTGTCTATGAGCTCCTTCCTGCCTCGTCAAAAGGATCAGTTGTTCTCCTGGATGATCAGCTCCGTTTCACGCTTGGCGACGGTCCTCTACCGCCCTCTACCACCCCTAAAATCAAAGCAATGAGTGACAGGCGACTGGAGTTGTTGAAACAATGCAAGCCAGAAATCAAACGATTCGCTACAATCCTCCTACCGACACTTACAGATGTCTACTCTAGTACGGTGAACTTGAGAGTCAGGCAAAAGGTACTGTTGGCACAACTAAAGATGGTCCAAGCCCTTGATGTCAACATTATAGAAGAAGCCCTGCGGTCTGTGCCATATGCGTCCTTTTTGGCTGGTATACTCTCTCAAAAAGATCACGTATCCCTCGTTGCGCTCGCCTTGCAATGTGCAGAACTCTTATATGAACGACTGCGGGACATTTATCAGTATCAATTCCATCGTGAGGGCGTCATAACCGAAATCAAAGAATTAGCTACTGTATCAGTATTGGATAAAACCAATAAACTAACTGACCAAAGGCCCAATTCAACTCCTGAATTGAAACAACATCTTTCCTACGCAGATGGCATGAAAGACGGCCATGGTCACGATAGCGGGCATGAACATGATATTCAGGATGACATTCACGATCATGAAGACGAGAGTAATGATGAGGATGATTTCAATGGTGACTATCCTGACGACCCGGAGCACCATGGCGAACATGAACATGACGAAGCTTCAGACAGCGAAGCATCCTCGATTGTGCACCCCCCTACCCAACCACTTGACACTACTCTCCAAGATCTTATAACAACCGGCGCAAAACATTTTCTGCACCTCTATGAAGAGAACAAGACTGCCGGTATGCATGAAAAGGCGGAGGTTGTCCTAGCCACCCTCCGTGGTCTCACCAAGAAAATCGAGGCTTGCTATAAAGCTCCTGCTACTGAAAACCAGGGCTTCAAACTCTTCTCTGAACTTGCAGCCTACTTTGATCAAGATGCCCTTAACAATATCACGAGCTATGAGCTTTTGAATTCCGGCATTATTCGTGTTCTTGTTGATGTCATTGAGAATTCAAAAGGTAAGTAGCTCCTTTCGAGCGTTACACTGCAGACGCTATCTTTTATCTAACGATACTGATACATTCTTATATAGGTCAAGCAGGTGCAGACTTTCTGAAGGCATTCAAGGCTTCCCAGCCAACCGTAAAGCCCGGGTCCGAACGCAAAACTGCATTTGGTGCCTTTATCCACCAACTTCAAGACCTACTGAGTCGTACTGAGAACTTTGAGGTTGTTACTGTCCACCACAATGCATTTGACAATAGAAGTACCCTATCCATGCTGTCAAAGCAAATTCGGCTCCGATTGGTAGCCGAGGAGGGCTCAAATATCCCCAAGCCATATAAGAACATGATGGTTTCTATTCATGCCATCGCAAATTTTAAGACACTAGATGATTATCTTCGCCCAAGAATAAGCCTTTCTGAGCGCCCACGCCACTCTAGGCACCGCGACCCAACCTTCCCAAATCATCATGGCGACGCCAATCCGCAAAATCCTGAATCAGCGAGTAGGGAAAGCGACACTGGATCGCCCCATTTGTCTGATTTCCCCTCTTATCGATTGCCGACTGGGCGAGACAGCTCCAATGGAACCAGCTCCAAGGGAGCAAACAAAGGAAGATCAACTCGCCCGTCAACACTCCAGGATTCTGGCGATGGAGTGCGTGAAGGGACTGGACGTAGACGCTCTGCTCGGCACCAGCCTCCACCACCGCCTATGGAAAGTGATGATACTGATGGGCCGTTAGAGTGCGCTGATGATCCAAACGGTAGCGACGAAGGAGAAGACGACGACGAAGGAGATACCCTTGATACGATTGTGGACGATATTGAGGATGATCTGTCGGAAGATGACGTTCCTGACCCCTCAGCCGTCAATATGGAGGTTGCATCTACAGGCAAGGTGACGGCGAGGAAGGAAGATGGCACGAGAGTTTCCACCCCCTCCCAGTCTACTCCCGTAGCCAAGTCATCTGCATCTTCCCTCGCTCGGTCAAGCCCCCAATCTTTCGGTAGATCGCTTTCCATGGCCGGGAGGTCCTTCACATCTTATGCCGCTGCAATGCTGGCCATGCCGCAGGACTGGCATATTGAATTTAGTGTGAATGGAAAAGCCATAACAAACGATACTACTATCTACCGTGCAGTGCAATGCAGTTGTGCCAATGATAGTAGCTCGCCCGCGAGAAACGTCTGGTCAACTGTCCACACTGTCCATTTCAAGCGAGCTCCGGGGCCACCACCACCGCCAGAACTAGCAATATTTACTCCCACCTCATCAAATGTATCCGTCATGATTGACGATGTAGACATGCCGGAATCCCTCAATAACGTTCCAACAACGGCCTCGATTCTCCGACTTCTTCGAGCCTTGCACGATCTAAATTCTCAGTCAGATGATGAATTAGCAAACGACAGTGATGTGATCGGAATTGTTCCAGAACCAGAACCCCCTTCACATTTTATCAATACGAAACTGACCGCGAAACTTAACCGGCAGTTAGAGGAGCCTTTGATAGTGGCAAGCAGTTGTTTGCCAAGCTGGAGTGAAGACCTTGGCCGCCATTTCGCCTTCCTCTTCCCATTCGAAACGCGACATCTCTTCTTACAATCCACATCTTTTGGCTACTCTAGGTCCATGGTTCGCTGGCAAGGCGCACAGTCTAACGATGATGGCCAGCGAGAGCGCCGTAGAGATGATCGCGCCTACAGCGGCAGGCTTCAGAGACAAAAGGTGCGAATCTCGCGGACACGCATCCTGGAGTCAGCTATGAAGGTTCTTGAGCTATACGGTTCCTCGCCAAGTATCCTGGAAATTGAATACTTTGAGGAGGTTGGGACAGGGCTGGGGCCTACTTTGGAGTTTTATTCTACGGTCTCAAAGGAGTTTTCCAAGAGAAAATTGAAATTGTGGAGAGACTCAGATGCCAGTAATGATGGAGAATACGTCCATAATAAACTAGGACTATTCCCGGCACCGATGAGCCAAGACCAAGTTACACAGGAGGCGGGAAAGAAGCAGCTGCAGTACTTCAAAGCTCTAGGCAAATTTGTTGCTCGCTCCATGCTGGACTCGCGTATTATCGACATTGGATTTAACCCATTATTCTTCAGTGTCGGTCGAGGAGCATACACAACGAAAGCCCCGTCTATTGGCTCTGTGAAACGAGTAGATGCGGAGCTTGCAAATTCTTTGAAATTCTTGAAGAAATTCGCCGACAAGGCAGCTGCTATCGAAGTAGACACTTCTCTATCCACCGCCGAAGCCGCTAGTGCGATGGAGAAATTCGAGGTCGACGACACGAAACTTGCAGACCTCGGCCTTGATTTTACATTGCCTGGATACCCTCATATCAAATTAATACCTAACGGCCAGAACATACCCATTACCATGTCAAATGTCGACCTGTATATCAACAAGATTATCGATATGACCCTTGGAAGTGGCATAAAGCCACAGCTTGATGCATTTGCTGCAGGCTTTTCCCAAGTATTCTTATATTCATCACTTAAAACCTTTACTCCTGACGAACTGGTGATGCTTTTTGGCCAGGTCGATGAAGACTGGTCCATCGAAAGTAAGTCACCCTCTCCCATAAACGGCAGGCAGTTTGTCCAGGGTTATCACTGACTTTTTCTTCTGCTAGCTCTTATGGACTCTATCAAGGCTGACCATGGGTTCAACATGGACAGCAGGAGTGTTCGAAACTTACTTGCAACCTTGAGTGAGTTTAACCTCCAGCAGCGCCGCGACTTTTTGCAGTTCGTCACTGGAAGTCCCAAACTCCCTATTGGTGGTAAGTGACTATTAAACCCCGTAACAACCCTTTTGCTCACCGCTTGCTTTTCCGCTCAATGCAACTGACTATGGCAACTTCAACACAGGCTTCAAGGGCCTCACGCCAATGTTCACCGTAGTCTGTCGGCCAAGTGAGCCGCCATACACCCCAGACGACTATCTCCCCAGTGTCATGACCTGTGTGAACTACTTGAAACTGCCGGACTACTCCTCTGCCGAGGTTCTCCTCAACAAACTCAGCATAGCAATGCGCGAGGGACAAGGCGCATTCCACCTTTCCTAAATGAACGAACGACCTTCGACACACCCTTCATTACATGGAACTTAGCTCACCTTACTTGTTCCTGGAAACAGCATTGAAGTCAATAATACTCCCGTATCACCGTAATCAAACCACAACTCTTCACGGAAGTTTTTTCTTCTTTTTTTTTTTCTTTTTTTTTTTGATTAGAGCATTACACCACTGCCACTACTACTACCACTTGCAAGAAAATGACCTTCACCGGCTCCGACACAAAAATGGAATGAATGGGATGGGCCCAGACGCGAAATGTTATGCATTTGAAATTGACATGATATCAGAAATGACGGCGGATGCAAGCGGCGTTCTAAAACAGAAAATAAATAACTCGATTGATGATTTTGTCCTTGTATCTTTAGGCCAGATCTTTAAATACATTAATTGAGACGTTCCTACTACAATGCATTATATCTCTAGCCGTTCTTCCCAGCCAATTATCTAACGAAAAAGCGAGGAACTAACAGTTGATAGTCGATTCCCTTAAGGCTGTGATGTTGACCGGTTAGCTACCTGCCTGTTAACCAGTATTTCCTGGGGTATTTTCTAAGATGCTGCACGCTTGTCAGAGTCTTTGCCCTTCCCGCCTTTGCAGTCCCTAAAATCCCCGGCAGGTTTAGACTTGAGTGTGACACTACAACTGATTGAGCCTGCATCCGGATGCTTCATTTGATCGGTAACTACTTTTCCGCACAACTTCGATTATCAAGACGTTTGATCTTCATTCACTAAAGGCCGAGGCCTCATACTCCATAACTAGCCATTAGATCTTCTTGTGCCGCCTTTTTCTTGAGGTAGGAATTTGCCATCTATCATCATGACGGAGTACTTCTTGTATACGAATCAGTGCGAAACCATCTGTAGTTAGGCTAGGTACTACCTTAAGCTCACTAGTTATTTAGTTAACTACTACCCGTGATTACACCAAGGCTTACCACCCTGGTTAAGTCACCCACTCATTTTTCGCGGGTGACTCCTAGTTTAAGTGGAAGGATAGCTCAACGGAAATATTTCAATTTTAGATATACTACTTGAGTTATTTCTTACTATTAAACTATCTATATATAAAAGACACCTAATACTAATCTAATATAAAAAAGTAAGCTTATAAGAAGTAGTAGGGAGATAATAATCTATCTTTTAAGAATATCTAAGAATATCTATAAGAATACTTATTTAGTCTTTTATAATACTAGTTATAATATATCTTTTAAAGACTTAATAAATTAATAGATAGTAAGTTTAATACCCTAGATATAGGGCTAGATAGTTAGATTTAATAGTTAGTTAGGTGTTATTGTAATATATTGATTCTTATTAAAATATTCCCGTTGAGCTGTCCTTCCACTTAAACTGGGAGTCACCCGCGAAAAATGAGTGGGTGACTCCACCAGGGTGGTAAGCCTTGGTGAGATCACGGGTAGTTAAGTTGCAGGTTCTTATCTTATCGCGAAGCCTGGTCAGTAAGGTAACTACAGATGGTTTCGAATTGTCGAGCAGACGAACAACCACCAAATCTCGGGGTTTGATAGTGTCCACCAAATTCGGGGTTTGATAGTGTCCTTCGCGGTGAAACGCATATTAGACCTTGCTCAACTTTGTCTGTTTCCCTAAGCCTATCCTCCGGTTAGTTAACTAGTTAGTTAGTTACGGTTGCGACTCTAGAAAGCCGCAATGGACGAGTTTGCGCAAACCCGCGGCGTCGACGACCTGTTCGATGACGATGTAATACCCGTTACATCGCACCCTCAGCCAGTTCATGAACCAGTTGACGAGCCCGAGCCCAAGACACACCCCTCTACACAGTCAAAGGAGGAGCCGGTAGACTCGATCAGGCCGTCGTCGCAGGCGGAGCCAACCGTGCCTCCGAAACAAGAGGTGGCGGCGCCATCGCAACACCGCAAACGAGGCGGGACGAGTCGAGCAAGAGGGAGAGGCAGCGGATTTTCTCGCAGGTCGAAACCTGATACACCTAGATCCCCCGGGAAGTCTGGTGATTCCTCGTCGTTGCACCCTGTTGCGACGGAGAAACTCACCCAGCCTCAGCCTCCCAACGACGATGCAGAACCCCAAGAACAACAAGCCGAGAAAGGATCGCCCGCTGATACCTCGAAGG